ATGGACCAATCTGCCAGCTCTGATTTATCTGAAGATCAAATTAGATCAGATGTTTTAGGACATATTAGGAACTGTGTTCTTTCAAGTGGTGAAAGACATCTGGTTCATCCTATCACCTAATTGTTCTCATTTCTGTGTGTTGCATTTAGGCATACATTGTCAAGTGAGTGATCACAAGGTGATGAACAAAGTCTTAATCGGAAATCCAGTTGTTGGGGCACACACACATCTCCAATAAAATCCTATAACTAGTGGAAAATATGCTAATTTAAAGAGAGATGCATTTCATCCAACTTTTTGTGTGACCCTCAGTAATTCATTTTCTTTGTCTTGAGTTTGTCCTGTTTTCACATCATTTAGTGCTCATATATTTGTATGCAGTTTCTTCCAAAGAGTGCATTTTTCTATGCATGTTTCTCTAAGATAAATGGTTTTTGAACTGTTTTTGTTAATACATTAATTTACCACCCCCACGAATCTATCCATTTTTTTGCACACTTTTCTCTAATGTATGTTTGTGGGCATTTGTTCCTGAAGATCTGTCTCACCAGATTTTAAGAAGTGCAAATACAAAGAGACAACTGTGTCTCAGTTGGTTTGGGAAGTATTCATTCAAAATGCAAACTGAATGAAATCTTTCAAATTGCACGTTTCAGCCCTATGACTACAATCCAAACTGGTTCACATTCGAATAATCTGTTTCAATCTGGCTCTCTTTTCTGCACTTTGTAATCTAGCTTTCTTTTCCGCATTATCTCACAGCCAGATAGATAATTTTCATGACCTATGGTGCAAATATAAACTAGGTGAAAGTAATTTCAATAATATTTTACATTCACACAGGGATGATAGCAAATCTTTGGACCAGAGTCCCTATTTCAAGTCCGAATCTTCGGACTCAAGTCCCAACTCCATGTCTTTGGGCCCGAGTCCTGAGTCCCAAGCCTTGAGTCAGAGTCCCAAGTCATTTGCCCCACCCCTGAGGCTTGGGACTGAGATCCAAAGATCTGGATTGTGCATTGCTGCCCAACTGATATGCCAGAGTAAGCACAAAGACAGTCGGCCTCCATACCTGGTGCCACTGCCAGCACCACAGCCGGCACTGCCATCTTCAGAGGCAGCAGGTCCAGCTTCTCTTCCAGGAGCCAGATGCTGCCTCTGAGCCACCCAGATAATACATTGGCACATGCGCAGGCCCAGCAGGCCTCTCTACCTTCTGTCATACTGCTTATGGCACTGCCACCCACCGTCACTGCCACCACCACCACTCACCACTGCGAATTTCAGACATAGCAGACATGGCTTCCATTCCATGAGCAGGCTGCTGCTTCCACCCATGCATGCACCACCCAGCTGATAGGCTGGCTCATATGCAGAGACAGTGGGCCTCTCTACCTGGTACCACACCTACCACCTCTGCTGCCACCACTACCCAGAGTCAGCTCCTGCCTCTGCGTATGTGCTGGCCTTTCAGCTAGGTGGCAGGTGCATGGGCAGAAGGGAGCTCCTGGAAGGGAAGCCAGGCCTGCTGCCTCTGAAGAAAGTGGTGGTGGGCAGCAGTGGTAATGGCAGGAAGGGAGAGTTACATGGATTTGACAATTTGATTAAGAGAAATGGGTCTGAGTCGTGAGCTGAGTTGTGAGTCCCCCTCCCAAACCCTCAAATCAAGTCCAAGTCAAGTCGTTGGTGTGACTTAAGCCAGACTTGGCAGGGATTCATCACTTGCGAGTCCCCATCAATGCATTTGCATAATTAAAGATCTGCTAGCTTACCTGGTCTGCCACTGCATAGATTTCTTCTTTTTTGCGCAGGTCACACTTGTAGGTATGAACGGCTTGTGCTCCATTTGACCGGATGAGCTTGGCTGTTTTCTCATTTCCTTCTTCATCAATGTCCCAGAGAACAAGAACGGCACCAAGTTGGGCAAAATTCAATGCAATCTGCCTTCCGATTCCATTTGCTGATCCAGTGACAAGCACTGTTTGCCCAGCCACCTTTTTTTTCCCAGTACAGAAGCACATCAGAAAAGCCTCCAAGCAGTAATATAGAAACAAAAATATAAATTTCAGAGTATCCAGAATTCTTCTTATAAGAGACATGATTCTCTACAAATTATCTTACAAAGAAAAACAAAATATTATGCTAATATAGTATAAACTCTCTTATTTCCAGTAAAACTTAATAATGTTCTTTTTGAATCATTTCATGCAGATCTTTTCTGCATCATAGTAAGAGTAGTTCTGCCTGACCATTCATACTCTTTGTTATGAAGTCAAAGAAGATAAAGGTCACTGCATGTTAGAGAGTGTTTATATACCTGCCATTCTTCTTCTTCCTGCATTTATAAATACTAAATCATAAAGCAGTGGACAAAGACTATAATTTAACATGATAAAGATGTTTACTAGTCTTGAACGCAGCAGGAAATTTTATGTTAGTCATACTGTGCATGATGAACATACAGATTTGCAGTGAGGAAATCATTTCATTAATTAAGCTTTTTATTGGTTTCTCCATTCCTATACCCTTGGGCACTTTAGAATGAACCAGCTGACTGGCTGTTGGAAAGAACACCCAGTTTTACCTGCTAAATGTCTCCCTTTTATTATTTTCAAACTAGGTCATTCAGTGAAGAGCTGGATCCCTTCTCTAGGATTGAGAATGCAGCACTCAAAACAATCTTAGGTCAGTGGTTTAGGTCTCTAGCTCTGGAGCCAGAAGCTGGGAGTTTGATTCCCCACTGTGCCTCCTAGAGAGGGGCTGGACTAAGTGATCCATAGGGACCCTTCCAGATAAGCAGTTCTAAGATTATTGTTATTATCCTCTTGCTTCTCACTCTACAACTTGCATGTAAGTTGCTGGAGTAGGAATGATCTGACAGATGCTACCTATCAGTGTAATGATAGACAAAGAAGCCCCATTCTGGTTTTCAATTTGGAGCTATGAATCGAGGGGCAACACTTAACCAAAACTGGGAAGAAGATGATGAAAGATGAGGGCAGGATGAAGAGCTCCACTCTAAGTTTGTTCACATCACCCGATTGAATAACATCTGAATAAGGTCAGAAAAGTGCTTTTAAAAGGGGTTTTAAATAATATCTGTAGTGGTTAGTTTGGTACAGGTGTAAGCCTGTGAGCTGCATGTGGCCTCACCACAGCTTTTTTCCCCTCCCAGAAAGCAATTTTTCCATGTTTTATCTCCCTGTTTTAGATCAAGGGGCTCAAAACTGAAAGTGACTTGTGATAATTTCTTGTTTGGATAAAAGGCCTCTGCTTGGTCCACTTATTTTCCCGGGACTGGAAGTGGAGTTTTCTATATCCTCATAGGATCTAGCAAGAAATCCTTCCTTCCTTCCTTCCTTCCTTCCTTCCTTCC